CCAATATAACTGACTCACTCCGACACCCTTTGTCTATGTAGAGTCCTTCTAACTGTCTTGATAATGATAAAGTTCTTAGGAGTTACATGTATCATCTTCCCATACAGGAATGTAAACAGTTTAACTTTATTGACACACTTAGGATTTTTCTTTCACATTTACATTTTTATGCTTCTCTTGAGTCTTGTATTTGAAAGTAAAATTTTCTATTCACCTCTGGCCTTTTTATTAGGAATGCTTTAAAGTCTTCTGTTTCATTAAATAGCCTTTTTTCCCCCCTTGAAGGATTATACTTGGTTTTGCTGGGTAGGTTTTTCTTGGTTGTACTCCTAGCTCTTCTGCCTTGCAGAGTATCATATTCCAAGCACTGTGCTCCTTGTGTGATCCTGACTGTGGCTCCAGGATATTTGAATGTTGTTGGGGTTTTTTTTTTTTGGGGGGGGAGTGTTTGAAGTATTTTCTCCTTGACCTTGAAGCTCTGAAATTTAGTTATAATATTCCTGAGAGTTTTCATTTGGGGCTGTCTTTCAGTTGGTAATCTGTGGATTCTTTCAATTTTTGTTTTACCCTCTGGTAATTGATATTGAGGCAGTTTGCCTTTATCATTTCTTGTAATACAATGTCTAATCTCTTTCTTTGATCATGGCTTTCAGGTAGTCCAGTAATTCTTAAATTATCTCTCCTAGATCTATTTTTGAAGCCAATTGTTTTTCCAGTGAGATATTTCATATTTTCTTCTATTTTTTCCCATTCTTTTGACTTTGACTGTTCCTTAATGTCTCGTGGAGTCATTAGCTTCCACTTGCCCAATTCTGATTTTTAAGGAACTTTTTCTTCAATGAACTTTTATGCTTCTTTTTCCATTTGACCAACTACATTTTCTTCAGTGCTGTTTTCTTCAGTGTTGTCTTTTCATAGTTTTCTTCCCTCACCCTCATTTCTTTACCTAATTTTCCTCTACCACTCCCATTTGATTCTGAAAATTATTTTTTAGCTCTTCCAGAAATTGTGTTGGGCTTCTGTGCAATTCACTTTTTTCTTTGAGATTGCTTGTAGCTGTTTTGACTTCATCGTCTTCTGAGTTTGCGTCTTGATCTTTCCTGTCACCATAGTAGCTTTTTACCGTCAGGTTCTTTGTTGTTCGCTCGTTTTTCCAGTCTATTTCTTGACTTTGAATTAGAGTTAAAGTGAGGCTCTGTTCCTGACGTGCAGTGGGGGAAGGACATCATCCCCAGTGTCAGCTTTTTTGGCACTGTTTTCAGAGAAAGTTCTGGGTTTTGGAAGGTTTTGGCACTTCTGAGGTAGTGTGATCTGGGGAGGGGTGTGTTCACTGCTCTCCTGATCTGCATTCTGGTCCTTACCCAGGAAAGGCCCCAGATCCCTTGGGACTACAAGTGACATTGCTCCTCGGGGCTCCTACTCCTTTTTGACTACAAAGTCTTCTTCTCTGCCCTTGAACGGTGACCCAGAGGTGGGTATAGGCAATGGGGTTACCAGACAGTGTCTGGTTCTGCAAGCACAGGGGTCCCCTGTAATGTCCCCTTGTCACTTCTGGCTTGAGAGCTCCCAAAGCTGCTGATGCTTCTGTTACCACCACCTTGTCCACCTCTGGTGTTGCCCCCCACGTGTGCTCCATGTCAGCCCACCCCTCCATGACAGATTCTCCTCTCAACTGCCTACATTATCTTGGGCTGAAGGAATGACTTTTTCTGTCTCTGCTGCTCTAGAATTTGATTTAAGGTGTTATTTTAAAGTTGTTTGGAGGGCAATGTTGGGGGAGTGTGGCTGTGTGCTTCTTCTGCTCTGCCATCTTGGCTCTGCCTGCAGAACCAATGACTTCTTAAAGGTCAAATGCTACAGGCTTTTCTCAGTTGTATTCCTTTACTTCTTCAGTATGACTTTTTAACCTCTTCCTCTCTGGTTTTCATGACATTGTTCTCAGTCCTCCTCCCTTTCTGAAAATTCCTTCTAGGTCTCCTTTGCAGATCCATCTTCAGCTCAAGCCTCCTTAGTAGGGCGGACATGAAGGCTCTCTTTTCTTTTTTCTACATACGCTCCATATATGACCTCACCCGACCCCATGGGTTCATTTATCATCTCCATGTGCATGATCCCAGATCTATATATTCAGTCTTGACCTCTCTACTGAGCTGAAGACCCACATCAGCAGCTGCCCATCATATCATTCAAATGAGATGCCCCATCAGCATCTCAAATTCGCTAAGTCCAAAGCAGAATCCATTACCTTCCTCCTAAATCCACCTCTCTCCTGAATTTCTCTACTGCTGTTGATGGCATCAAAGATCTGATCACATCCATCTCCTCCCTGTTCCCTCCAGGATTAAATAGAAAATACTTTGTTTAGCCTTGAAAGTTGCTCACTCCCTCTTTCCTACCTTTCCAGTCTTGGTCCTTTCCTCCAAGTCCCCTACTGGCCATTGTCCTGCTCCACCTTCTGACTCCATCCTTTTCACTGGCCATTCCCCATGCCTGGAAAGCTCTCCCCTCTCACGGCCAGCCACCTCCCGACTTCAGGACCCTGCTCAAATCCTGCCTTCTGCATGGACCTTTCCTGGTTTTCCCCACTCTCCCCTGGACTTTCCCTCTGAGATGACCTCCAACTGGTCCTGAATCTATCCTGCATGCACAAGGTTGTTTGAGTGTTCTCCTTCCCCGATGTGAACTCCTTTTGGACAGGGAATGTTTTTGCCTTTCTTTGTGGGCTCAGTACAGTGGCTGGCACACGGTAAGCACTTGATAAATGCCTGGCCAAGTTTGCCACTTCACTGCCATCCCCAAATCCCCTCGCCCCATATATCTGGGCAGATGACAGACTTCTCTACACTTGGGCCCTCACCACCTCTCACCTGGACTCCTCCATCAGCCAATCTGATCCCCGGCCTCTGCTCCACCCTCCCCAGAGCAGCTGGAGCGACTTGCCTTCAGCTCAGATCTGTCCCGTTCCCCCTCCCCCACCCCCCAGGATCCCGACACCGTGGCTGCTTCTTGACTTTTTACTCTCGTCTCTGCACCCTGGCCCTGGGATTCCGCTCAAGCCCCACCTTCAGGAGCAGAGGCTCTGCTTGGGTCCCTCCCCACTAAGGCTACCTTGTCCCCTCCTCACACTGTACTGTAAACATACATGGGGTCTCCTTTGTGAGAATGTGTTCCTCCCCCAGGGCAGGGCTTCTTTATACCAATACTAAAACCTAGAATTCTGGAGACGAGCCCCCCACATGATGAGTCACAACTCTGCCGAACCCCCAGTGTCTGTGGACACTCAACCCAGTGTTCAGTCAGCCACGTCAGCCTCCCCTTAAGGAATTTTGCCCCACCTAAATCAAGGTATAGACAGGCACTGCCTGTTTACTGAGCAAAGAACTACCTAACAGGCAGGCAGTTCTACAAAGAACCATTTGCGAATTACAGAAATCTGACAGAACGCCATTTATGTGCCGAACACCAGGATGTTACTTTATTAATTGGATTTTTTTTCCATCTCTGTCACACGTCTGTGAATGCTTACACAATGAAAAAATTCAGACAGCTGGAAGCAACTGACCAGATCAGCCGGTATTCCTGTACCCTCTTAACACATCACAATTCTTACTTGGTGGGGATATCCTGAATTCAATTCTGCCTTGCTATATCTGTTCATTTTCACGGCTATCCTTAAAATTCTGTGTCAAGATCGTCACATCTTTAAATACAGATAGAATTGTTAGAGGTACATAATTATATATACACACATACAGAAAAATACAAGACTAATCGTTTTCACACAATACTTAATTTATGCACTACTGTAACTCTTCTGCAACCTTTAAAGACAGGTCAAGGGGTACAAGAAACTGTGTAGAGCAAGTGCCTAGTTTGGTCCGGTATTATCTTAATGTAATGGTTATTCTCTCCCTCCCTTTTACGGGGCAACATACCAGGACAGACAACACATGCACAGTCATTCACTTGGGAACACATGGATAAAAGACAAGACTCAGACAGACATGTGAACGCCCAGAGGTTCCACCAACCATCCACAACTAAGAAGGCTGTCACACAGCTCTGCAGCATAAATGGTCAACACTGCTGTTTCTAAAGTGAGCACCATATATATATATATATATATATATATATATAATATATATATTTATATACACATCTATATATATACATCTGAATATAAAAACTGTTGGAAACCAAATACATAGGGGTTAGTTAAAAGGTGCCATTCCAAGGCTGTACATAATCACAGGAAAAAATTATTTACAATACTTGGAAAAGACAGCTGCAACACAAGAGTTTATTGCCAATGCCCTTTATGAGTAAGCGTCTCTTGCACTCACGCCTCGGTGAGCCCCACAGCTTCATTTCTGGCCCTCGAGAAGATCCCTGCTCAAAAGTTTCAAACACACATGTTCTCTGGCTTCACCCACACATCTATTCTCACAGCTTTTTGATGCAGAAACATCTCACTGAATGAGCGTGGCTGCTCTAAGAGCTAGTCTAGGTCTAGAAAGGAGAGTAGGTATTTTCAGCCTTGTCTACTTGGCCGAGTAAAGAGAGTGCATAATTATGGAGCAGAGTCGAATCCACAAATCCACGACTAGTAGAGTCGGGGGGCCTACAGCAGCCAGGACCCCATGTCAAAATCGCTGCCCCCGACACAGAATGGGCTGGGTCACACCTCGTCCCCAACGCCACAATCTCTGCTTCTAAGAGCCAGCACACAGCGCACAAAGAGGACACTCCTGCCCTTTCCAAAGACAAGAACCTGCAGCATACCACGTCTGACAGAACAAAAATGCCACCAGAAGCAGTTCCATACAAGAAGAGTCAAAAGCAAGAGGAACTTTACTATCATTATAGCAAGGAGATGAGATTGAAATGGGAAAGCTTCCCACAAAGAAAAAATGTGAAAAGGGATTTTTTTCTCCTCCCTTTATCTTGGTATGTGTGTGTGTCCATATCTGTATGTAAGTGTGTGTATACATATATGTGTGTATGTGTGTGCATGTATATGTGTGTGTATATATATATACATACATACATACATACATGTGTGTGTGCATACACACACCACGTTGGTTTATATGTCCCAACCAGCCAGTTTTTGTGGCGGACTAAATTCAAGAACACGGAGGAATAGAAGAAATGGAAGAGAAGACAGTACTATTTTCAAACTCCTGCAAAGAGCCAAAGAGGGATTTTAAAAAATATATTTCTGTCCTAATGTTCCAACATAAATGTGTACCCCTGTTTAAACCTTTCATTTCTTGCTGAACTGGCATTCTACAGGCCTACTGACCATATGTTATCTACATCATCTTAAGGGAAACCCTGGGAGAGGCTCAAATTCACACAATTTATGCATCTCTGTTCTGCCGGGGACCAATCTCTACCTGTAGTTAAGACTTCATTGATTATCTTCATCATATTAAAAAATAAGATTGTCTGCCTATAATAGTAACACACGACTGGGGGTGGGGGTAGGGAGCTGCCTTGCCAGTCTGGGGACTCAATATCAGCTACTGTGAAGCCAAGGTCATCTTTCAGGCTTCAGAGTCCCACCTGGATGCAGGCCAGAGCTTAAGACAACAGGTGTGGGTGGGTCTCCCTCTACAACTGGAACCAGGCCTCTGGAGCTCTCGTCCCTCCAAGTTCTCAGCATCCCAATATTATTGCTTTGGTTCTAGTTCAGACACAAAGGAGCGTAGGCCCACAGTTCTAATATAACAGAAGGTCAGAACAGGAAGGAACATTTTAACGAAGAAACAAAAGCATTTTTCTCTCTTGGTTATAAGTGCAGAACAGGAAATTTCTAAGTGCTCCATTTACATGTAGGCTCCAGATACACATTTTAATTTAATCTGGACCTTCCATAGTAAAATTATAAATGTAGAAATTACATCATGAAATAAGACTATTCAGCAGAAAAAAAAGTGTTGTGGCTAGCAGCATGCACAAAGACCATGCATTGTCATCTCACCGAGCACACAAACAAAAATGGGATAAATAACTGAAGGACTGAGACAACCACAGGGGTACAGTGAGAGAAGACGGAGTCGTTCACAGCTCTGAACAGCAAGGAGGGAAGGAGGAAAGGAGAGGGGGGAAAGAGGAAGAGAAGGAAGGAGAGAGGGAGGGGAGGGAAGGAGGCAGAGAGGGAGTGGTCGCAGAGCCAGCGTGGAGTGGGAGAAGCCCCCTTCAGATGACGTGGCAGCAGCTGGCGGGGCTCGAGGCGCACAGCAGGCCCTCCTTGGGGCCCCGCTGGATGTTAACTGAGATGGTTTTTTCACACAGAGGTAGTTGTAAGACGCTGTTTTTCAAGTTCTTGCTCTTTACCCGGTCCAGCCCTTCCGCGGGGCCCACCATGCGGTCAGAGAACAATTTGACGCGGGGGCCGGTGGGGGCCGGGCCGGCTGAGCCCACGCACATTCTCCAGGCGGATTTCTCCTGGACTCTCACGCTGGAGAAGGCCCAGGCGCTCTGGGGGTCAAGGATGCAGCCAGCACTGCCGCGGATCTGCGCGCCCAGGCACAGGCTCATGAGCTTCAGGCTCTCCACCAGCTCCCCCGGGCCCGCACACCTGCGCGTGGTGCCTGAAGGGCTGGTGCCGCCGCCCCCGGCGCTGCCCGAGGGGCTGCCCCCGCCCTGGCTGCCACCGTTGGGGCTGGCCTTGTCCGGGCCGCGGCTGCCGTCGGCCGGCCTGCCCTGGCCGCTGCCGTCGCCCTGGTTGCCCGGCGGCCCTTCGCCGCTGTCCCGACGGTGCCACGAGTAGGTGAAGCCGCTGTCCTTATCCAGCCGCCGGCGGCTCTCCGAGTCGTCGTCGCTGGTCTCCGAGCTGCTGCAGCTCGAGCCGCGGCCCTGGCTCTTCCGGCGGTGGTAGCGCTTGTGCACCGTGCCCGGGGACGCGATGTTCATTTTGAGCCTGCTCAGCTTGGGCGGCAGGTTCTCGTCCATGTCGAACTCGTCGTCAGACTCGCCCTCCTCAAAGATCTGGTTCAGCACCGGTGCACTCTTGCGGGACGTGAGGCGGTTGGTGACAGACGGCTTCCGACGCAGGACCACCTGGGTGGAGAGCGATGCGGGCTTCTTGTCCTCTTCGTCCTCTTCCTCGTCTTCCTCCACGCGGAACAGACACTTGCGGCCACTCGTGGTGGGCTTGAGGCTCACGGAGGGAACCACAGACAGCGTGGGCCCAGCCAGCTCCGGGAGCTCGTCCTTCTTGGCCACCGCGTCCCCGAGGGCTTTGTTCCTGTGGCCGTTGAGGACGTTCTCAGCTGTGCGTGCTGGGGACTGAGGGACAGGGGCGTGGGACAGGGGAGACGCTGTAAGGTCATCTTCAAGGTCCTGGGGGACGTCAATCTTTGTGGGCCACGACTGCCTACATTAGAAATGAGACAGAGAGAAATGAGTCAGTTCAGTGAAGGCATCCGCAGAGTACCAGAGACCAACGAGGGCAGCCGACATTTCCATGGCCGGACTGCTACAGATTCTTGGGATCTGTGGGCAGCCCCCGGGACGTCGGGCAGGGCAGGACAGGAGGCCCAGGCCGCTAGGCCTTGGAGGTGCTCAAACTGACCCTTTCTCCAGGCTGCCTTTGGAGCCGGGGGAAAGACAAAGATTCCCCCCCCCCCCACCCAGAACACCCGGAACTGAGCTCGCTCACGCAAACCGTCCCACACACTCGGCCCTCAAACACTGTCTGCAGGATTGACTGCACACTCGCTGGACCGGCCCACTGGCTTTGGTCAGTGCAGCTGATCAGTCCATCAGCTCTGGCTGAGAAGGACCAGGAGGCCCTTTTACATCCAGGCTGGGTGGGGCAGGGCCAGGGGCACGGAGGTGGGCGGGACACCTCCACTCTCCCTCCTTCCCTTCCAAACCCTTCCCAACACACACCCTCCCAATTGTGCATGCTATCAATGCCAAGATCAGAGTCGGGTGGTAGCAGGCATTAGATTTCAGATGCTAACACCCATGTGACCCGGGCTAAGTTGCTTAACCTTTCTCAGACTCCTTTTCCTCACCTGTAAAATGGGAATAATAATGGGAGCCCCGGGGATTAAATCAAAGGAGAGAACACAGGTAAATGCTTGGCAAAGCTTAAATCTCTATGTAAGCGCAAATCACTGTTAATTAGCAAAGACACAAGGACTGAAGAATCAAGTCTACTTTGGAAGCAGGTCTCAATGTGAAGTCGGCACCAGCAGGATGGGAGAAACCATCAAAGACACAGAAGGCATAAGACAAACTCCCGGGCTGGAGCCTCAAGCCCAGCAGGGACCTGCCTGCCCACGGACTTGCCCCTCCCTTGCTCCGGGGGCCTCACCAGCACAAGTCCCACCCAGCATCACTCCAGCACTAACAGTCATTTCTACAGCATTGCTGACCTCATATTTAAAGCCACCAAGTCAGAGAAGGAAATCCATTTCTATTTGCATGTGGAAAAGCCTGTTTTCCTAATTATTAAAAAAACAACCTGTGGTAGCTCAGTGTTAAAATGGGTTTTAGATGGGGGAGCATGGCAGGCGTCTGGACCTACTTCCTCCTGGAACCCGGCTCTGCGGCCCGTTCCCTTCCCGGCAGATGCTGGGCCCTGCCTGTCTCAGACACGTCAAAACCGTGGGCACTTATAGCAAGTGAATAAGCAAATCTTTGCAAAAACAGGCACTGGAAGTGGCAGGAGGCTCTGTCCTGGGGGGCTGCCTGAGCCCCCCTCCGGCCCGGCCTCCTAACATCAGCCACTACTTCTCCAGGAAGGCCTCCGCCATCCTCATCTGGAAGGGTCCAATGACTCATTCCAGGCCCAGACCACACAATGGGAGGAGGGGGGTGGCGTCAGAGAGAGGGCCTCACCTCCCTGGGCCCTGGCCCTAGTCATGGCTATCAATGCCTGTTCAATCTAATTGTCCATCAATTAGGAGACCTAATTCAAAGACCTCATTAGACATGTATGTACACACACACACTGCAGAGAGCAGTGTCTGAAGCACTCCATTCCAGTGTTACACGAAAGGTAACTTTTTAGTAGTTATGAGGACATCTTATTTTCAAATATCTTTCTTGCTCCCCTACTAAGGTCCTTCCTTCTGATGGTACCCAGGTGAACAAGGACGAATGGCCATGGGATGACCTTCACCAAGTCACTGCTGGTCTACTCATCTGTAAGATGGGGATACTAGCACCTACCTAAAGTGCTCGACCACTTCCGGCTCCAGCCTGCAATTAGAAGCAGCTCCTCATGGCCGGCCGGTGGAGTAATGAATGGTTTGGGGCACAGCAACAGACAAACATCTATGAAGCCATTTCAGGCATGCAATGATGGAGAGATCCCCTACTCCAGTGAAATCACAGGCCTTGTGACAGAAATAATTTTATATAATTATAATAGGTGGTCCCTGACAAGGCTTATGGAAAAGATGTGCAGATAAGTAGAAGCAGAGAAGATGGAGAATATATGTGGGGAGCTGCCATGGGCTCCTGCTCTAACTCAGATGTGTCCCTCTCTAGCATCCCCTTCTCTGCTTCTTCATATGGAAGAGTTCTGGCCCTGGGAAGCTTCTCTGTTTGCTAACAGGATCATCAGTCCAGGGATAGGGACCACTCTGACCCTAACAAAAGAGAGAGAATATCAGAGGACAGAGCGTATGACTGCAGGGTCCTCCTGATCTCCAGAAGAGAAAGACGCCTCCACGGATCTTTTCTAGAACATTGAAACACACACATGCTGCTGTGAACTGTTTGTAGCTACTGCGGGCTCCCAAGCAAGACACAAAAGTCACTGCTATGACTGACTGGATAAAAACACTGTGATTCATTTACCTCTCTGGTCAGTGGGAAGGCCTCCCAAGAATCTGTATTTAAATTGTTTTGCTGAAGAAGTCTCTGGTGCACCCAAATTCCACCCAAGCACCTTCAACATATGACTTGATTCAATGTTCTTTTTGCCAGTGAAATGAAGAGGCTCTGAATCAGACAAGTTTGACCCTGACCTCTCCAACAGATCCTCACGATGGACCACTACCGGAGTCAGAGGAATGCTAAGTATCCTTCTGAATAGAGAAGGGAAATGGGCCTTAATTTTTTATTCCACAAAATTTCTCTGATATATGAACAAGACCACTGAAATCACCTTTCACCCAACCTAAGAATAACTTCTGACCTCGAGGCAGCAGAAGCTCCTTTAAACCCCCCCTCAATACTTGCCCAAGAAATAAGCTACCAAGACTTACACTTCAGGCTCTGGAACATTCATTTTCTCTTGTCCAACACAGACCTCTAAACCCTCCTGCCTCCTACCTTCCCTATTACTGTAGAGAGCACCACCATCTTCCCAGCCCCACAGGCTCACAACCTAGGGTTCCTCCTAGATTCCTCCCTCTTAAACCCCCCACCCCCACCCCCCTATTCAGGCTGTTGCCAAGGCCTGTCAGTTTCACCTCTCAGCATCTCAGGTCAGTTTCACCTCTGCAGGATCTCTCCAACACTCCCCCTTATCTCCTCTGGCATAGTCCCCACTCTGGTGCAGGCCCTCATCACCTCACACCTGGATTACTGCAATAGTCTGCAGGTGGGGGCCACCTGCCTAAAGTCTCGCCCCACTCTAGCCCATCCTCCATTCAGCTAATAAAGTAATTTCCCTATCTTCCTTTAAGTCACGACTAAAATCCCACCTTCTACAGGAAGTCTTCCCTAAACCCTCTTAATTCCAGTGCCTTCCCTCTCTTAATCACTTCTTATTTATCCTGCATGTAGCTTGCTTTGTATATATTTGTTTGCATGTTGTCTCATTAGGTTGTGAGTTCCTCGGTATCCTGGCACATAGTAGGTGCTAATAAATGTTGATAGATTAGATAGATTTCAATACCAGCCCTTAGAGAGAGATTGTTTCTTCCTCACTTTCATATCTGGATCACAGTCTAGAAGAGTATCTTCTTAATATGTTGTTTTTCATTCACTTAGTACATGCCCTATAGTTATAACCTAAAAAAACACACATTTCCACAGCCCACAGAGCCTTAATTTTTTTCCATAAAAAAAAAACCTTTCTGAACTAAACAAACACCAAATGAAATGAGCACTTAATTTACATCGTGGAATATAAGAAATGAAAAAACTGGAAATGCAGGAAACTGGAAATGTATATTATTTAAAACTTGCTTTTCTTTTAAAGTATATATCAAAACAAACATCTAACATCTAACTTTCAAAGCTGTCTTATTTGTGTGGCTTCTCACTGAGGGAGAAAGGGAACTATCCCAGCTTCCCCCTCCTTACACCCCTCAACCCCCAAAGCCTTGACAAAATACAAAACCAGAAAGTGAGGCTTCTTAACTAATGAATCTCATGGAGCAGAGACGGAAATAAGGCCTGCATGTACCCAAGGCAGGGTCTGGAGAATGCTCCCCCTGGAATCTTGAAGTTTCCACAGTACTACCCATAATGTGACTAATCACAAAATAAATACCTATGTGCCATGGAAAGTAGGATTTGGGGGCATTAAAAGTGTGTACGTGTGTAAAAGTAATGCCTGAAACAGGCCCTCTGCTCCAAGGCAGTCCCTCAGACCTTCTTCTGCTGGCCTCCCCGCTGTCCCGGCCACCTCCTCGGGGGCTCTGCTACTGAGCCCCTGGAATTACAAAGTAGGTGGAAAATGTAGCTAGTGTTCACAGCCTCCCAGAAAGAAAAGGAACTGTGCTCCCCATGCTCCCTGACTGGCTGAGGAAACCATGACAGTCACTTTCCTGGGTCACAGGGCTGGAGAGAAGAAAAGGCAGAACGGTCAGAGAAAGCAGCGCCCCCTCCCCAGTGAGAGGTTACCTCCCACATGGGAGGGGCCTTTGCCCATAGGCTGTGGTAACCAAGAAACTGCAGCAAAAATTGAGGAAAAGGTCCGTGGAAGCTAAGGTGAATGCAAATTTGATTCCTGAACTGCAAATCTTTTCAAATTAGAGTCTTTCACAACAGAGACAACTGAGGGTCCGGAGTCAGGAAAACCAGATTCAAACCTGGCCTTGGACACCTGAATAACTGTGACCTCGGCAAGTCGCTCCACCTCTATCTGCCTCAGTTTCCTCATCTATAAAATGGCGATGATAAAAACACCCCCTTCCTGGGGACCATGGACAGAAAGTGTTGAGCTCAGCTTGGCCGGCCCTCAGTAAGCACTGTGTAAATGCTCTCAGTATTATTACACCTGTGACCAGTACCAGTTCCCACAAGGGAAGCTGGGCCTCTCTGGCAGCTGGGGTCAGGGCGAGGGGCATCGAGTGCTTCCGGGACGCCTTGGCGGGCTCGCCCGACCCCTGCATAGCAGCCCCAGGAGGGGCCCTCCTTCAGCCCAGGGACCCCTCGCCTGAGCAGCCCCTTCCTCCCCACCCCCATTACCTGAACTGGGCTTTGATGTTACTGGGACTGGCCGACCTCGTCTGAATCTCCTTCTCCTGCTTCTCCCTCAGGATCCTCTCGGCCAGCAGGAAGTAGGTGGCCGTGATGTGATTGTACTTGTTGGTCTCCAGGGCCCTACAAAGGGAAGGCACAGGGTCAGCCTGGGCCCTCCCAAAGGGGAGACGGAGGAGCCGCAGGGCCCTGGGGGCGGGGAGCCTGCTGCCCAGGAAGAAGACCCCCAAGGGGGAAGCTAGTGGCGCAGGTGGCGCCGGGGAGGGGCTGTGGCGGCCCCCAGACCACAACGTAGGGGTGAGCTTTTCTGCCCGGGAAACAACAATGTGAATGTGTGCAAAATCATGACTGCTGCAAATGAAAACAGACTTTATGGTCCCAAGAAGCTGCCCGTGACCTGTTTTATCAGGGCCAGACGTGGCCCTCCCAGGAGGGTCAACGTGGGTGTTTATCAAAGAGACAGCTTGAACCAAGCCGTCCTCAAGTGCCCCTGCCCCAGAACCAGCACAGCCATCATCCTGCCTCTTTGGAGATCTTTCTTCCTGCACCCCTACCCACAAGAGGAATCAGAGATTCTCAGCCATATTTTCACCTGTGATCAAAATGAGTCGCAGCAGATTTAAATGGTCTGAAACATGATAATTAGTGAATATGGCTATACTGTGAATGTGTACAGTGAAGTGAGAAAGACAATTATCTATTATTGTTTTCTATAAAGGAAAACTATTGTATTATCCAAAAATATGAGCAGATTCAGGTGGACAAGAACAGCTTAACACCACAACCATCCAAAGCAATGCAAAGACCAGAATTCTCTCAGGCCTGGCCAGGGGTCCTCAGAGGTCCTCCACTGCCCCGCCCCCATCTCACTCACTCAACGATGCTCTCTCGGTCAGCTATGTCGCCAAGAACCATGCGCTGAATGATGCTGTTGTGCTCCTCCTCGGAAAGGTTTTTGTAGGAAACCAGGGGGATGTTGTACTTGGTGGCCGGGGACGGGTCGACGCCTTGGAGCCAGGCGTGCGTCTCAATTTCCTCCAAGGAAGCTCTTCGCTTGGGGTCCCTCTGCAGCATCCGAGTAATCAGGCTGCAAAAGGACAGGGTCGCTCAGAGCAGATGCCGGTGGGGGGGAGGTGGGGGGGTGCTTGTCTATCAGTTTTACCTCGTCCCCAACACGGAGCAAGGGGGAGAAAGTGGAAGTAGAAATGGAAAGCCAGAACGTGTCTGGCACGCCCAAACACACCCATACAACAGTCTCTGAAAACCAGCCATTAAAACTCAACATATCAAAATAATACTAGACTTTGGGTTTTTCCACAAATTCTTTCTGGCCGCAGCTCCGCTGTGGCTCGTTAAACCCCGTCAGGGCCGTGAGCTGAGGAGGAAGGACACATGTAGTACTTGGGCAGCTCCCATTTTCATTCTTAGTTTTGCTTCAGAATCAATTTGTGTGCTGCGCCAAAGATCTGAGATTTCCTACGCCCTCTCCGCCAAGGCAGACGGCCGTGCCTCCACAAGAGCTCCTGTGGGGGTCCCCTAGGCCGGGCTGGCCCTTGGACAAGGGGCTCAGAGTCTGCCCCTGCACCCGTGAGCTGAGCCTCCCGATGGTCCAAATCTGGCTGAGCCATGAGCAGGCCCCACAATAAAGCTTTCTAGAGCAGGACACATTCACAAAGAATGACCCAAAAGGCAGCATTCCATGATTTTACACCAACAGAAACTTAACATGAGACTCTCTCAAGTGCGCTAAACACCCAATCTGCAACGCCTGATGGACAAATGGACACAGGCAGGCTGTGCTGGACAGACAGTAGGGTGAAAGCAGAGATGTGGGAGAGGCTTCTCCATACTGGCTCAGCCCAGAAGTAGCACTCTTGATGGCAGGCCCCAGGTTACCCACAATGGCCACACTAGAGTATTCAGGCATAGGTTCCCAAAGTGAGTGATACTGCTCCCTGGGGGGAGCTGGAATGATGGGGGGGGGGGGGGTAGAACGTAGCCTCAGGTGCAACTAGGGGGCGTTGAATAAAAATAAAGAGGGTGGTGGAAGCATAAGGAAAGAAGAAGATAAGAACATTCTGAAAAACCATTCCTACATGTTTCATCTGTTGTGTAACAGTAAAAGTCATAGTGATTACATTATTTTCCTAATAAACACAAAAAATGCAAGTTATAACCCCTTAGTGGTCAAGTCTGCCAACAGGTCTTAACAAGCAAGTGTTGCCAGGCAAGCCTGTCTCGTATCGTCAGGAAGTTCAGCGTGTATCAACAGGAATACGTGCATGTAATGACTTGTTTACAATATGATACTATGTGGTTACATGATGCAAAATTGCATCATCAAAATTTCAATGCAGGAAAAACCCCACAAATTTCCAATAAATTATTAAAATTAAGATGCACCATTTTTAAAAATGTATTTTTTTTGAAATGACACAAAGTTTAAAAAAAACATTAAAGGGTTGAAGAAAGCAGATTTCCAGGGGGGATCTGAGTAAATTTTTTAAATTTATTATTATTTTTTTAAGGCAATTGGGGTTAAGTGATTTGCCCAGGGTCACACAGCTAGTAAGTGTCAAGTGTTTGGTCTGAGGCCAGATTTGAACTCAGGTCCTCCTGACCTCAGGGCCGGTGCTCTATCCACTGTGCCACCTAGCTGCCCCCAGTAAATTTTTTTTAAACGGAGGTGGCTGGTCAAACAAGTTTGGGAACCTCTGACTTAGAGCCTGACTGGAGCATGCACAGCTCAGACAGAGGAGAGAAAGCAGGGCCTAAAGAACTAGACAGAGCATAAGAACTAGAGAAGTGAAGACAACTCCAAATGGCAGGAAAACCCCTTAAACTGGGACTAATCTGGAGGTCCAGGGCACAGCCTGCTTTCCTTGTGGGCTCTTTGAAGGCAGGGATGGTCTTTTGCCTCCTTTGGTATCTGCTGTGCTCAGCACAGTGCCTGGAACAGAGAAGGGGCTGAATAAAGGTTAACTGAATCGAATTATTTTGTTTAGTTGGGGATGGAGTAGGGAGTTAATCAGCAGTTGTTCAGGAATGTGTATGACGTGTCAAAACAAAATAGCAGTTTAAAAAATCACATCATTCAACTCCCCTGGTTTTACATTTGAGAAAACTGAGGCTTATGAGGTTCAATGACTTGTCTTTGGTCACACAGGTAGCAAGTGGCACAGTCATGATTAAAACCAAAATTTCAAATCTGATGCTAACTGAACTCCTTGATTTCCAAGGGAACAGTTTTATATTACTCTATTTCTGGCCCCCACCCCCCACCCTGAACGTACAAGATTTTAAATTCCAAAATGCCCATTGAAACGACCTTTTGGAACACAACCCAAGTTTACTTTGGGGGTTCCCAGTCATCCCCAATAGGATTCCTCAAGTCACTGAAGGAAAAGAGAATAAAATGATGATCTGGTACCAGGCAATCCAAACTACAGAAATCATCACACCCCTGAACAGCCAAACAAAAGGCTAGCTGGCTCCCGCCTAGCAGGTGGCCTTCCTTCAACAGCAGGGGAAGGTCTGCTGACCTGTGTGGGGCACGACTGTCATCGAATGTCATAACGCAACAAAGATGGACGAACAGGAGGATGGTGGAGCGATCTGGAACGACCCTGATGACGTGATACAGGAGGGACTGAAAGGGGATGGCCTTTCATGCCCTGAATTAATGCATTTGGATATCATGAGTGAAAAAAACAAAGCCCCGTAGGTGTAGTCATGTTGAATATTTAGTTTGTAATAACCCGTTTAAATTTCCAAACGAGGCACTAGGTTCTGCAAATCCCAAAATGAAGGCTTTGATGAGCCGTCCAAGAAAAGAAAGCTGCCCCGTGGGTTTCTCTAGAATGTGAAGCCCTGATCGCTCAGTCGCTGGGCTGCTCCACTGAGCACCGAGGTCAAAGCTAAGTTTAAGACCTGACTGTAAAATGAAACAGTGACTGCTGGCAGCAGCCATGGCCACACAGAGGGCTCCATCTCCCAGCTGCCAACACTGGCCCAGGGTCATGCCCAGGAATCCTGGACAGCGCGGATGAGGGCTGGACTGGGCGGCCAGCTGGCCATGGCTGCTGCCCTGCACTTCGTAACTAACAGATTTCCGGCCTACCGATCAGGGCCTTTTGTGTTACTTACTCTTTACACTCTTTGGAAACGTGTGACGGCACTGTGTATTTGCAGTCCATAATCATCGTCAAAGTTTCGCTGTCATTTGCTTCTTGAAAGGGGGGCTGCCCACACACCAACATGAAAAGAATGACTCCCAGACTCCATATATCTGGAAATAACAGAGTGTTATTAAGTGGGGTAAACAGTAGAAAGCAATTTATTTGGGGAATTTTTAAAAAAGAAACAGAAAACAGTTAACATTACTTTTCAAATACGTTAATCAACTTTAAAAATTAGAAGAGAATATAAAATTTAGTAACAAATGCTAAGAACAAATAAAAGAACATTATGATATAGCCAGGTCTGTGAGAATAAAGAATCCCCACAAGTAGTGGACTTACTTCAATTCACATGGCATATGTCCATGGGGATGGACCTAATCACCATATTTTACACAATTATAACTCGAATAGTGCGAATCTCAATCCAGGTGACCCCTTGAGTGACTCATCAGCAGGCAGGTCTGCTAACCCTCCCCTCTCTCAGCCTGGCCCTGGGTATCCAGGGTCCTCCACGCCCATCCCCAAGGCCACTTAGTACCCTCTCTCATCTCAATTAACCAATTGTTTACGAAGTACCTACCAGGTGCCAAGTCCCCACCCCACCCCCCCAAGGGGCTGGGAGGACACCTGTCCTCTCAAAGAGCTTCTTCCATCCCCCAGAAAGAAGTAACAGGTGTGCCTGAGGGGATGGCAGTGGGGGAGGAGACACCCTTCAGGACCTCATCAAAGGCAAATGTGAGAAGGGAGGGCCTCACAGGCATGAGGGCCAGCCCATGCGGAGATGGGAGATCGCTAGAAAGGGCGAGAAAGAAGGCCCGACCGGCTCAGCTGGAGCTGCGCCACCACCGATGTCAGGGGCCAGACACAGGGGGCTGTATTTGACACCACAGATAACTGAAAGCCGCTGAGTTTCTCGAGGTGGGGAGTGGTTGGTCTCATCCTTTCTGGCCTCTGGAAGCTGCACATGTAGGGAGAACCAGCGCTGAGGCCAGAAGTGATGATGGGGATGGAAGTGAGAGGACCAGGGCAGGCTCGGGGAATGGAGGTGAGAAAGAGGGAGGTGCCGAGGAGGCTCCAAGGCCACCAGCCTGGGGCCTGCTACAGAAGTACAGAGACCATGGAGGCGGCTGGAGAAGCAGTCTTTCACCAAGCTCAGGGCAATACCATCAGTGTGGGGAGCTCCCACTGCAGAGACGCCCCTTCACGGAGGCAGAGCGACTGCTCCGGGGCTGGGCGAAGGGACTCGGCCAGAGGCGAAGAGCTAAGCCCCCATCTTCCTCCTGCCAAGGCCAGCCCTCTCAAGGCAACTTTCACAATTAGGCCGTGAGAGGTTTGTTTAATAAAGGCATGAACATTACAATTTAGGACTGCTGCATTAACAGGATGAGATTTGTGTGTCACTGCTCATCCTCAATCAGACCGTGAGATCACAGACTCTCAAGCCAGATGGGCCTTCGAAGGTCATCTAGGCTAGCTCGCACATTTTTCCAAGGCCACACAAGGAAGGAAGGAAGGAGCAAAGCCACGATTTGATCTCGGGTCCCTGGACTCCAAACCTCTAGCACACTTTCCTCCAGACTGTGACAGTACAACAAGCTCCCCGAGCATGTGGCCTCAGCTTGCTTCTCCTCCTGTGACCCACAGTGCCTAACAAAGTGCCAAGCACACAGGCATTCATCACAAAGGGGCAGCCCCTCCTCCTGAGGGAGGCTGAGGACAGTAGTCACTTAAGTAAGGCTGGCTGCGATTGGGTGTATGGTGAGACCCTGGGAGCCCGGGGCCAGCAGGCTGCCTAAGGATGGGCCAACCAGGCCAGGTGAGAAACAGAGCACATCAAAGCTTCCATGACAGTAGCCGTGGGGTCAGGCCTATGAGTGGTCACCCTAATAACTAGCCCCCCCAAAAAAGGGGGGAGCCTTGTAGACAAGAAAAAGGAAAGAAAAAAGGCCAAAAAAAAAAGAGTTATGCAAGGAAGGAGAGGGAACTTTTGCTCCAGAGAGTAAGGAACTTAATAGCATTTGGGAGGAAACTTCCCTGCCCTTTAAAACTCCGTAGAAGGGCCGCACTTCCCTAGCTAGGCTTGGGGCTGCCTGGGGCTAGGCAGCCAAAGAAGGGGCGACTTCCACAGGAGAGTGTGTACGGGAGATCGACCTCAGGAAGGCAAGTCCGAGAGCAAAACCCAGGATGGCCAAATAGAAGTGATCCCGGTGAGGGAGGGCCATCCTGACAGGACACCATCCTTTTTGGGCCTTTCTTATTCCTGCCAAATCCACACCCCCTGGTGCCTGCCTGGAGTAGAGAATTTCAGCAGATGGTCTCGGGGTGAGGACAGGAGAACAGCAAGCCAGCAGGACAGGCAGGAAAGGCTTCTTGGTGCAACCAAGGCAGCGATGGTCTCAGTGACCTGACTAGTACTCCTGTTATCAGGTGGCCAGAGGGCTTTTGGAACCGCTGAGATTCCTCTACAGGTGGGGAAGTGGGTGTGAAAGGGAGGGCATTTTATGTCATCGATTATTTCTCAAAAGTATCACATGCACTGTTCTAATAACAACTCATCCACAAGGGAAAATCTCCAGCGGGCTCTGAACCCAGACTTGGGGTATGATGTGGTAGTCCCTGGAGTACAATTAGGTGTGATCAGCCAATAAACCACAAGGCAGCAACTACAGCAGAGCCCCTCTCCCTCCCTCCTCTGGGGGCTGGGCCTCTTCTGGTCACAATTCTATCCATTCTGATACTACTCCTAGCTTAGGACTTCTATGATCTGTGTAATCTCTCCCTTCCTCCTCTCTCTTCTTCCCTCCCTCCCTCCCTCTTTTCTTTCTCCCTTCTCCTTCTCTCTCTTCCTCCTCTCTCTCCTCTCTCTTTATCCTCCCACCTCTCTTCTCTCTCTCTGTCTCTCTTTCTCTCTCTCTCTCTCTCTCTCTCTCACACACACACACATTTTTTGGTGAGCAGTCAAGTACAAAGTATTAAGAATTAAAGATTTCTCCTTTGTACTTTCAGAAAATATGTGCACCCCAGTGAATCAGCACGGATGACAGATCTTTGGAACTTCAAAGTCTACAAGGATATTCCGGCTGTACTTGGCTGAACTTCTCCTCCTGAAGGAATTCTCAGACCCTCTCTTTACATGCAGCCACACTATCTCTTGGGAACATGTTTTCTTTTAACTCCAAGTTCCTCCAGCACCCACTTGCAATTTCTGCTTGTTCCACAAGAAGCCAAGTTTTCCATGCTCTGTAATGACAGGTATAGACAGGGTCTTCACTCTCATTCAATGAATTCTAATAAATATGCTCTACTAGGGGGTCAGTGAAAAGCGTCCTGAGAGCAGAGTATGTGTCCCTCTTATCTTTTGTACTCACAGCATCATCCATCACAGGGACCGACACACAGTAGGTGTTCACTGAATGCTGGCTGACAGCTGACCTGCAGGAGGCAGCAGGGTATGGAGTCAGGGGAGACGGTTTCATTCCGTGAACAAGCACACATTAAGCACCTATGTGCTGTCGCTGGGATAAGTGCTAAGGCATACCCCAAAAAAGGGCAAAGCCAACCCTTCTCCTCGAGGAGTCTGCAGTCTAATGCAAATGACTATGCAGATTCCCAAGATCTCACAGAGAGAAAGGCAGCTGTGGAGACAGAAGGAAGGAAGCATGGAGGCTGTCCAGGGACAAGGGGCAGAGACAGGGGACGGCGGGACAGCGGGGAGGGGGCTTCAAACAGCCAAGAGAGGCCTTGCTATTTGATTCCAGAGGGAACAGGAAGCCATCGGGGTTTGCTGATCTGGAAGCAGGGGTGACTCCCTACATTTTAGAAGAAGCGCCCAGGCAGCCGCAGGGAGAGACCTGAGTGAGAAGGCATCGTAAGAGTCCGAGCCAGAGGCAACGGGAGCCTGAGCTGGAGATGGGGATGGCACGTGCCAAGAAAGGAGGACCTATAGGAGATGGTGTAAAGGAAGATCTGTGAGGATTTGCGATTTCAGGCCTGGGTGACTAGGGAGGAAGAGAACACAGGAAACAAGCACTAATTAAGTGCCTACCGTGTGTTCGCAGGGGCAGCTAGATGATGCAGTACACGGAGCACCAGGCCTGGAGTCAGGAAGACTTGAGCTCAAATGCAGCCTCAGACACTCCTAGCTGTGTGACCCTGGACAAGTCACTTCACCCTGTTTGCCTCAGTTTCCCCATCTGTAAAATGAGCTGGAGAAGGAAATGGCAAACTACTCCAGTTTCTCTGACAAGAAAACCCCAAATGGGGTCACAGAGAGTCGGACACAACAGAAACAACACCAAACTGTGTGAGGCACTTTACCAATATTATCTCATTTGATCCTCACCACAACTTTGGGAGGCAGGTGCTATCATTATCCCCATTTTACAGAGGGGGAAACTAAGGTTAAACAGAAGTAAAGTGACTTGTAAGTCGCTGAGGCTGGATTTGAATTCAGGTCTTCCTGCCTCCGGGCCCAGCACTCTATCCTTCATACCACCGAGCTGCCTCTGGGAGGAGGGCGATGCCCTTGACCGCAATGGGGAAGTTGGGGAAAGGGGAAGTCCTTAGGGAGAAAGATAACAAGTTCTGTATCGAGCACAATGAGTGAGATGTCTACAGGACAAACAATCTGAGGTGCTCCTGGGTCTGCGCCAGCTCCTTCCTTCCCGGCTCCTCCAAACCCTCCAGGCCCTCTGTCCACCTCCGTCACTTGGGTTGCCAGCCCTTCTGTAGCCACGCACTTCCTGCCTCCCCTTCCTCACCACTCTCACAGCCTTCCCGCCTCCTGAAATGGGGGCTCCTCCCCTTGCCCGCCAAGCCCTCTTCTTGAGGGTTGCCAATGACCCAGCAATAGCCCAGTGTGGAGGTCTCTCCTTAGCCTTCGTCCTTGTCCCTGCTCCGCAGTTTCTGGCACCGCTGGCTCCCTTTGGCCTCCTCCTCCTGTCCCTCTCGACATGGTGGCATTGCTCTTTCCTGGTTCTCTGACCTGGCCGTGGTGTCCTTGGGTTGGGGTGGGGAACCTGTGGCCTTGAAGCTGCCTGTGGCCTTCTAGGTCCTTGGGTGCGGCCTTGTGACTGAGTCCAAGTTTTACAGAACAAATCCTTTCATTAAGGGGTCACCCGTGGCCCCGAGGCTGCAGGTTCCCACCCTGAGGCATGGGCACTCGGCGCTCAGACAGTAGCCCTGTAGCCTGACCCGTGCACTCGCAACACTCCTCTAGGACAGCTGCCCCAAGTCTATCGTCCAGCTCCTTCTCGTCGAGGGGAGCCCACTTCTTCCCCTTGAGGCCCTACAGTGTTCTCTACACTTGAACAGTCTCATTGTGAAGAGCTGGCTTTTTCCCGACATCAAACCTACATTTCCTTCCTCCCCAGTGTCCCTATGATTCCTAGTTCTGTTCCCTCAAGCCCAGCAGAGCATATCACCTTCTTCCACACTCCAACAAGACAGCGTGTGCCTGTCTTCGCCAGGCTAATCATCTCCGGACCCTTCAGTTTGTCCTCCTGAGCACGGCATCCACTCAAAGCCTTCCACCATGCTGGGTGCTCTCCTCTTAACATGGGGCATCTGCCCTGAAGGTGGGACAGAGAGCACCCGACAGGCCCTGGACACGCAGCCTCCGTTACCCCTCCTCTCAGCTCACTGTATCACCTCCCCCCAGCTAGAAATTCCTTTGGGCCTAAGTTTTCTGGATGCCTCTTCCTTTCACATCACTTCTGGATACACTCTACACCCTACTCTGCGAGCACAAACATACCCAAGAGTCCTCCTTTGTAACCCGGGAGCACTTCAACAGCCTCCACGTTTCATTCTTGATCCTATCTCTGCTGGGAGCTCAGCACATGCATCATTTTATCCTTCCTTCTCTCTTCCCCTCAATCCCTTTCCCTGCTATCTACAAAGATGCTGAGCTCGTAATCCAGGCGGAGATGTCCCACAGAGAGCTGACCATGTAGGACTAGAGTCTAGGAGGGAGGCTGGGGCTGGGTGACAACTGAACCTGAGGGAGCTGAGATCACTGAGAGGGGGAATAGAGAGCAGAAGGAGAGAAGGGCCCTGGACACAGCCTTGGAAAGCTCCCTCCCTCCATAAAAACCATGGCCGGACCCTGCCCTACCCCTCCCTCCATTACCCTACAGCCCATCTCCCTTTTACATAAAAAAGCCTACTTCTCCTCCTCCCACACATCTCAATCCCTCCACATCTTCTCACTCCTCAAGTACCCTCTCCAAGCTTCTCTTACTTGTTCAATCCAATGGCCTTTTCCTAAGTCCTCATCATGTGAGATTGTCAGTCATCCCCCGGCCCCCCACTCCCCACTATAACAGTGATCTCTTCTGGTTCTCCTACCACCTTCTGACCATTCCTCCTCAATTTTCTTTGCTCTCTGTCCTCCATGGCCCATGCTCCAACGACCCCCCCAAGGCTCTATCCTGCACCTGCCTGTTCCAGAGAGGCCTCATTTTCTCCCTAAACCCAACCCTTCTTCACCCTTCCTTATTTCTGCTGAGGACACCACGATCCTTCCTGTCACTGAGGTGCATCGGCTGATCACATTCTCCTCTTCCCTCTCCCTACAGCTCCCCAACATCCTGCATCTGTGCCCAGAGCAGGGCCCAGACAGCCTCTTCACCTCCAGTGTTTCTCTTCTCGAAGCCATCCTTTACAGAGCTGTCAAAATAATCCTCTCTGAGGCCCAGGGCTGGACAGGTTACTCCCCTGTTCAAAAATAGCCAGTGTTGCCCTGTTTGCCCCTAGGGTAACACAAGCTCATCAGCCAGGCAGTTAAGACCCTTCCCAGCCTGGCTCCCCTTTTTTGCCCAGACTTACCCTAAACGACGTCCTTTCCTATGGGCTAAGGTCCGGTCGAGCTGGAATCCTGGCTTCTCTGCGTTGGACATGGGAAGCATCTGAAATAACTGTCCTTTTAGGCCACTCGTGAGCTGCCTCTTCCATGAAGACTCTTTCCTGATGCCCAGTTCCGAGCGCTCCCATCTCACGTTTTCCTGGAGCTCTTTGTCCGAGTTCTCCCTTCCTGGTATTGGCTCACCTGTCCACACGCTGTAACTCCCAAACTGAATGTAAACTCTGGGAGGACAGAGCCTTACTGACCCTCAGTGAGCTCTTGATGTTGGCTGAACTGAACTGATTTGTAAAAAACTAAAGGATGTCAGAATCTCACCAAAAGGCTCAAAGTAGAAGCTGAGCAGATGAGGACTGGCTATTTCTTGGGCCGTATACTTGGCAAATGGGACCCAGGTCTGTCTGTCTCCCTCCCCATCCCTGCCAAAGTCCCTAACTTTTAGTTTCACAGGGGCAGGTATACAGGAAGGAGAGGCCAAGGCCAAGTTGAAGTGAGTCCAATGGTCACTCAGATAGGTTCCCTCTGTGGCCCATACTAAGTGGTTCAGCCCAATGCTGCAGCTTTCATTTCACGTCAGGACATTAAAACAGAAGAATGAAGCCCCTTATGAAGTTCTAAGTAAGAATATGCTGAAAATACTAGGTGCCATGATAAAATTTCCAGGAATCATATGACAACCTGCCACCTGGGATTTGATAGAAGTAATATTGTTTTAAAAAAAGCCAACAACTCTACAAGGCTGATATATTCCAAAACACATTTCCACTTCTACCGGCTGCTTCATGAGATCCAACTCAGAGAAAACAAACAAACCCCAAACCTAAACAGAATCGGAGAGCTCCTGTTCTGATTCCTACAAACAAAAAGGGACCGGCGAGGCTCCTGAGTTCACAGGACAGCCACACAGGCAAGCGTCCCTACTCCATTCTTCCTGATATCTGAACATTGCCCCCAACCTTGTAGGACATAAGATCTTACTTTCTGGGTTTTAAAGTCCCGCATTTCCTCCACTCACTCCCTGCATGACCTTGGGCCTTGGTTTCCTCACTGCAGCCGGGCTTTCAGAGGTCACCCACTTGGCTAAAATCTGAGCTCTTAGCTCTGTCCTCACTCAACCTTGACCTTTTAGATCGGACCTCTTCTCTTCCACTATGAGTATTCTCTAAGAGTCTGCTGCCCTCTGCACCTAACCCTCCCATGCCTCCATCTCTGCGGATGTCTCCCCAGTCAGCTGCTCTGGTCCATCCGCACCTGGGGTCGCAACCCTATCCAGCCTCCTCAACAGCTCCTTTCAGGGGAGCTCGGCTGTCACTGCTGGCCCCTCCCCTGTACCCCCTTCTACCTTTCCAGCCCCAAATCCAGAAGTCAGCTTGGATTCCCCATCCCCATGCCCCCCATCTCCTCGTGGAGAGCTCCACCTTGCATCCTCACTGCTATCTTCTTAGGCCAAACCATCAGTGAGTCAGTGGGTCAGTCAATAAGCATTTATCAAGCACTGACTCTATGCAGACACTGTGCTAAGCACTGGGGACATAAAAAGAATCAACACGGTCCTTGCTCTCAAGGAGCTTAGAACCCAACAGGGAAGACAACATTGCCAACTCACCCCTGCTGTCTACAATGGCCTCCTGACTCCTATTTCTGAGTCCACACTGTCTGATTCCACCACGTTGGTGCCAGCTCACCCAGCATCTAGCTGCTGTTGCTCTCTTCTGTCTTCCCCACTGGAATGAAAACCCCGTGAGGGCCGCGCCTTTATATTCCTACCCATCTGGGCCTGTACATTTAGCAGAGTAAAGAACCCCCTCTACTTCCCAAGGTGATCTGTCTGGAGTCCTGTGTGAGTCAGAGGCCAGCCCTCTACCTCCTCCATGACGGGCCTCCCTCTACGTCTTGCACGTGGTGGTAGGTGCTTAGGTGTTGGCCGACATAAAGTGAGTGACTCACCTGTTGTCTCATGAATACATCACACGGGCTGACGCTTCTGGCCCTTCATTCAGGACGCTGCCCTCACTCAAAGGAAGGCCCTCATCTCTCCCCTCCACTCATCCACGTGCAGACACGTGGTGGGATGGACAGAACGTGGCGTTGGAGTCAGGAGACAGATTCCAATGGTGGCTCTATACTTACTAGCTGGATGACCCTGGGTAAATCCCTTAACTCCCATAAGCCTCAGTTTTCTCGCCTGTAAAATAGAGTGTGCTATAGACTAGGAATGGCTGAGTCTACTGCCAAACCCCAGAGCTCACAGGGTAAAGCACAGGGATGCTGTAACAGCACCTTCAACCTCTTCTTCTCTTCTGGGCCGTCTGCTGCTTTCTCAGTCTTGAGCATTCTACACTGTCCCCCGGTTATGAGCATTTCTCACCTGCCTAAGGACACCCCCTGCCCAATCTCAATGCCCAGCTCTGATAACTGAGTTAGTGACCACATCCCACAGCATCCCATTTCCCCAGGAACACAAGAGGTCTTCCCCACTGATCGATCCTCAGCTTGGCACACCCCCCAAGTCTGAGGCTTCAGGTGAAGCACTACAGGAGGGACACGTGGATCATCTTCCACGTCCTGCTTCTCCCTCATTCTGTGGATGCCAAGGGAGGAGGCCACCTTCCAGGTCACTGTACAAAAGGAACAAACTCGGTAACGGTCTGGAATAAAAATGATCACGATCTCCCTGAAACGCCAGTGCAGCCAACAAAACAAGTACTGATTTGCACACTCTCGCACCCAGCTAGTTCTGTTTGTATCTGTCTTCTTCTTTAAACATGCCCACAATATGTTTGCCAGCTAGTAATGAGAAATCAAGAGAAAACTGTAAAACAAGAGGGGAAGAAAACGAACCCAAACCACAGCACATTCAGTCACTACTGTTTCCAGATGATTCGAAGAATCTCTGAAAAATGGAAAGGCTTGAAAAAATTAAAAATCTTCTTCTACAATTAATCTGGGAAACACTGAGTTGAGTGCCTGACTCAGGGAAGGTGATTCAACCCCAAGGCAGACAAACGACCCACACAATCTTTGTCATTTGGGAGCTGTCCATCTTCCAGGCCTTTGGATTTCCCATCAGGCTGGTTCGCCCCTCCACATAAGGGCCCTTTCACAAGGAGTCCAAGAAAAGAAAGAGAAAAGTAGCCGATTCTGCTACAACAGGGGCTCTAGTCCAAGGCTGGACGAGCTCCTCCCAAGTCAGATGACGGAGTTATTGACTGACAATGCTGTACTCTCCCAACACAAGTGACCTTGTTCCCTCCTGTCAAAAAACAGAGTCTGGGCCAGGATGGCACTTTTTATCATCCAATTTGGGAGGGGCTAGGTTAAAAGCATTGGCTAAAATGAAATTCAAAATATTTTCCAAATAGAGTTTTTAAACTAATGTTCCAAGTATTGATTACCTATCGCTTATGAGTTGAAATAATAATGCCTCATTATGGCCTGGAGGCGACCTGGATTTTTGAAAGTTACACCAGCAAAGTATACACTTTGATGTAAAACTCAACGTTCTCCATTCCACCCAAGATGCAAAGGTTCAGGGGACCGACTGACCAGGTGAGGGACTGACTGTGTCAGTCTGTCCAGGAGCTAGACTGGCTCAATTCTGGGAGGTTCAGGCACCAGGGGAAGGTGGGGAGAGGATGCAATCTGCATATGGGGAAGGAGGACCCACCCAACAAAACAGACAAGTTTGGACTAGCTCCTCTAAGTCTCGATGAGCTCAACATGAGAGAAATCCAGACCTCCAAGAGGGGAGGCGGCCGTGGCACAGGGGACAACGCAACAGCCCCAAGCTGGGAAAACTCCCAGTCAGGTCCCTTCCCCTCAGGATTCCAGGCAACATGGTGGAGAAGGTACTGCCCTGGCACTGCAATCACAGGCCCCGGCAGATCCTTGTCCTGCCCAGAATAGCACATCGTGAACTCATTTAAGGTGAAGCTCCAGACCACGAAAAGCTAAGCAGAAGAGGAAAAGAAGTTCTGGCCCAGGGTCACAAAGCCAGATTTTGAGGACAGGCTCCAAAACTTACTGGCCACACGGCCCTTCATCCCTCCGAGATGCTATTCTTTCTTCTATAAAACTGGGATGATACTTTTTTTATCTTCTTCACGGGATGTACTCAACAAACTGCTTTTTCAGAAGCTAAAGCAGTACATAAACGTAGACTAGCACTACTAAAGAAGTGATGCACAGACGTACTCAGCAAAAGAACATCAAGAGACTGTCATACCTGATATCAGGACCGGCGTCTCTCTGGGAGAGTTCACACAATTAACTCCTACTTCCACGTGTGACCACCAGCTGCTAACACGTGGCCCTCTGCCATTTGAAGAGGACGGTCATTTCTTGGACCCCCAAACACGACTATGGTGGTGTTCAGTCACAGACTACCCTGCCCCTGTAGTGTCCATGATGCCATAAATACATCATTTATTTTTCAGACTTAGTATAAGTTGGTTTATTTGCATTAGAGACAGAAGTCCAAGCATCTATGAACCAAACCTCTGTCTCCCAATCAGCCATACTGTCTGGGGCTCTGTCTTGAGCCCTCTCCTCTGCTCCTTCTGCCCTCATCAGCAGCTCCCCCGCATTCGGCGACTCCCCATTCAACAGGGGCGGCTTGCCCTCCTGAGTCACAGCCACACCTCCAGTCCAGGGCTGGACATCTCTGCCAGGACGTTCCCCAGGTAGCGCTACCTCTACCTCACACTCCCTCTTTCTGGGCGAGGCAGCCCCTCTCTGGACATTCAGTCCATCCCCACAGAGAATCATCCTCACCTCTTCCCTCGCCCATCAGGCGCTGTCTTGTCAGTCGCACCTCCTTGCGGTCTCTCCAATGAGGCGGCCAGTGGCATGGTGGATAGAGCGCCGGGCCTGGAGTCAGGAAGACGAGCGTTCGAATCCAACCTTGGACGCTCACTAGCTGTGTGACCCTGGGTAAGCCCCTTCATCTGTCTGCCTCAATTTCCTCATCTGTAAGATGGGGATGACAGCACTACCTCCCACCGTTGTTAGCACAGTGCCTGGTGCTTGATACAAGCTTATTCCCTCACTCCTTCTGGACTCCCCAAAGCAGCCAAACCAACAGTCCTAGCGTGCTGGCCTAATCAGATCACTGCCCTGCTCAAGAAGCCTCTGTAGCTCACCACTGACTTCAGAAAAAACTATGGACACCTCTCCATTTGTGGCACAGAGGCCTCCTGAATCACTAAAACATTTTAAAAATTACTATTTATTTTTAACACTTTTCTTTTTAAATTTTGAGTTCCAAACTCTCTCCTGTTCTCCTACCCCTCCCTTATTCACTGAGAAAGAAGCAACATTATATCAATTAATTATACATGTAAAATCCCATAAACATCTTTCCACATTAGCCACATCACAAAAAAAGCAAAAAAAATTTAAAAGCAAGAAAACCACACGTCACTTTGCACCCGGAGGTCATCAGTTCTCTCTCTGCAGACGGAGAGCGTTTTTCCTGAGTCTCTGGGATTATCACGCATCACTGTGTTGCTCAGAGTGGCCAAGTCTTTCACAGCTGATCATCATTACAGCACTGCTTCCAGTGTGCACAATCATCTTCTGGTTCTCCTCACTTCCCTTTACATCAGTTCATCTGGGTCTTGCCATGTTTTTCTGAAACTACTCCCCTTGTCATTTCTTACAGCACAACAGTATTCCATTACACTCACACCACAACTTGTTCAGCCATTCCCCAATTGATGGGCATCCCCTCAATTTGCTATTCTTTGCCAACTACAAAAAGAGCTGCTACAAATATTTTTTGTACACGTGGGTCCTTTTCCTTTCATCTCTCTGGGATAGAGACTGAGTGGTGGTACTGCTGGGTCAAAGGGTATGCACAGTTTTCTAGCCCTTTGGGCATAGTTCCAAATTGCTCTCCAGAATGGTTGGCCAGTTCACAACTCCACCAGTGGTGCATTAGTGCCCCTATTTTTCCTTCATTCTCTCCAGCTTCTGTCATTTCTGATGGGTGTGAGGTGATACCTCAGAGTTGTTTTAATTTGCCTTTCTCTAATCAATGGTGATTTGGAGTATTTTCTCATTTGACTATAGACAGCTCTGATTTCTTCTTCTGAAAACTGTCTGTTTCCATTCTTTGACCATTTACCAGCTGGGGAATGCAGGCCTCCTTAATCCTGATCCAGCCTCTCTTTCCAGGCTGATGATGCCTACTCACCACTTCCCAAATGGACACTCTCTCTTCCAGGCTGCCTTCCCGCTTGGAGTGTTCTCCCTTCCTCATCTGTACAGGAGGCCTTTTTCCTGATGCCCTCCCCCCACCCCGTCCTGAAGACATGGGA